CTAAAGAAGGATCAAACACACTAAGAGTGGACCTGGGAGACTTTGAGGGGAACACAAGATATGCTAACTACTCTACATTTAATGTTAGTGATGGTTGTACTGAATATATACTAACAGTAGGAGGATACTCTGGTACTGCTGGGGATGGATTGATTACTGATCCTAATAGTGGTTATATTCACAATGGAATGAAATTCACTACAAGAGATAATGATAATGATAACAGTGGTGGGAATTGTGCTGATTATTACAATGGTGCCTGGTGGTTTAATGCTTGCTTTCAATCTCATCTCAATGGCCGTTATTACACTACTCCAACTGGAGCTAACAGGTGGGATGGAATCATATGGTATGACTGGAAAGGAGATAGCTATAGTCTCAAGTTTACAGAGATGAAAACCCGTCGTAACAATTAATATGTATGTGTGTGATAGTATTGTGTGGAGTTGGTTACATACATTACTTAGTCACGATTCATGTATTCATTTAATTGCACAACTATATATAAAGTTCATTGTTGTACTAGTGTAACAATCCTTAAGTTTAACTACATTTAAACTATTCATAAATAATTCTGTTTGATGTTAATGATATGATTGAGGTTTCCAGATCCTATGGAGACTGCTAATTTGGAAACCTCAGGCTTTGTCCTTGGTTTCAAAATTCCATAAACACCTCATATGAGGTGCTTATTCATTTTGTACATGGAGAGATGAATAAAAAGAAAGTACAGAACTAGGTGTACTGTATCAGTTATACTAATCATAATCAGTGCAGGGTTGCTGAGCAGGGAGGAGTGGTTGTGGTGGATCACTCCTGACTCCTCCAACTTCACTAGCAGTTTCCTTTGATAATGATGAGGAAACATATTCATGCACTAACACTATTGAGTTGAGTTGCTGAGTCAGCACTTGTCCCCTTCCCACTGATACTACCGTAAACTAAGTATTTTGGTAAGTATTAAACTGTTATGTGTTTAGAGGTAGGACATTAACATTACACTTAATACTAATTAGTATGACATATTTAATTATATGTTATTATAGCTATCACAGTAGCACACTACTGAAGTCTGATATTAATGTGATAATAAGTCTCATATAATAGCAGTTATTGTATACAAAAGGAAGTGAAACAATAATATATGAATGTGTTTATTCTCAGCACTTTCTTCAACAACAAGAGTACCTACTACTCTTGTTGAAGTGTGTTATATACTACTCTTGTTGCTATTCTAGTTGTTTGGAATAGGATACAGTAAATTGCAAATTGCATACAGCCTATAGAAATTTGTGCCCATGTGAGCTCAAGCATTTGATTGGTCAGATTAATTTACAAAGGCTATTAATAATGACTACCAAGTTGAATCAACATGCAATTCATTGTAGTGTTGGAATCACCTCAAAGGTCTGGTAGCCATGTGTGCTTTTGTTTAATAAGAATGTCAACAATGATTTTAAATCTAATTTTCCTACTTTTGCTGCAGTACATTGATTGTGCTGGTAAGTTAAAGTATACTTTTATTTCATTTTTAATTTTTATTGTAATTATAGATATAAATGTTCACCCAGTGTCTATTAATACAACACTCAACTCTACTGTTGTCTTCTCTTGTGAAGCTATTGCTGATGATCTTTCCTTCAGGGTTAATAATACACCAGCTACTAACATAGGTGTTATAGCTAAAGGATTCAGTGAAACAGTATTTAATAATGGCGGTACTAGAGAAGCAGAGTTGGAAGCCATGGCTTATGATTATAATAATAATACTGAAGTGAAGTGTAGAGCTATTAATGATGAACCTTTTGTAATAGTATTCAGTATAATACAACAATATTAATGATACAAGGTTAATGTCTGTGTATGTGTGCATGCGTGTGCATCAATATTTACTTTTTAGGTCTATTGGATAGTGTTGTTGATCTGAATTATACTTATATTAATGAATCCAGTGTATTATTAACATGGACAGCTCCTTATACACTGGATAATGTACCTATATTACTGGATATAGTCAATGGATTAGTAAACATTACTACTACTGATAATAATACTAATATTATATTATTAACTACTAATCCTGATCCTTGTATATTGAATAATGTATCAGTTTCTCCTATTAATGATGTTGGAATAGGTTCATCTAATAACATCAAATTTTATTATGAAACAGGTTAGTCCTACTATGGCTTCATGTATATGTTCACAGTGTATCTTTCAGTTCCTCTCATTACTCCTCCTTTATCAGTGGTACCAGCACCATGATGACTTGTGTAAAAAGAGATTACTAAAGCTTCAACTCACAGATGGACACAATTACTGCCATGCTATAGAATATTTGCCTATACCTCATCTTAGATATTGTACAGCTGGTGATTTAAAGAGATAAAATTTTGGTGAATTACTTAAATTTTTGAACTTAATTTGGTGAACTTGTGGTGACCATTGTGCATTTGTATAAAAGTGATTTGAAAGAAGTGGTTGGTTCGAAGTGATTTTAGCAAGTAGCTGTATAACAAATGCCAAATCTCCCAAATTCTCTACCTCTAATGTTCATGTACCAGCTACTGTATAGTGGAAAATTTTGGAGGGACTTAAATTTGGCGAATTGCTAAGTTTTGGTAATTGGCAGATTTTAATTTGGCAAATTTGTGGCCACGTGCCATTAAGCATGTGCATAATGGCTCAAAATGGCAGATTTTATTTTGGCGAATGGCTATCAAAATGCCAAATTTGTCAAATTTAACTCCCTCTGAAATGTCCTGCTATACGGTATTATGTACATGTATGATCATTTATTACTATAGTAGTCTCCTTTTGTTACAATTATTAGACCTTCAAGTCCTCCTGGTACCAAGTTAGTGATATCAAGCAAAATGTTGTTGGTGGCTTTCTGTTACTAACAGACAAATCAACTGTTATTCTAGGAGGCCACGTTGAGCACATGATTAAAAAATGGAATCTTGAAAAAGTATGAATTTCCAGTTCAATAGTTTAAGGTTACTTTTTAAAACGGGTACCATATATTGCAAATATTGCGTTGGGATAAAATTGCAATTATTAATACCCACAGTTATTAATAATACCATATAACTATTAGTAACAATTATTTAATCACAATTTTTAATACCAGGAAAATCTACTACATGCTAAAATTGCAAGATTCAGTCCAATTTAAAGGTACTTAGAGGCATACAAATGTATTGTCATGCTTGGTAAAAAAGGATAGAATATGTGATAAATGTGATACAGTCAGTAAAGTGTTTCTTTGCTTCTAAACTGCATTTTATGAGTTATTTCTTCTTCTGTACATGTACATATGTTCTACTGACTTAATATCGTTCTGGCATATAGTACAATTAATCCTGTGGTATACTTGATTTGTAATGTATAAATATTTATTAACTAATAATAACAAAATTTGACAGCATTACCATCAGTTTAGTGTGACATAAAGCACTAGTTTATGTTAGTAAGTAAGTGCTATAATATTTAGAATGAAATAAATATTTATAAAGATATTTATGATGCCAACAAAGAAGCCAATAAAATTAAAAATGAGGGCAAGCTGTCGCCTTGAATACATTGTAATGATGTCACCATCCATTTCAGCCTTCCTTGCCTATAATAATCACAACATGATAATGCTTTCAATTACATGGTTGGGGTCACTGTTCCATGTAACATGGATGTGGTCACCATAATAAAGAAATGATAAGAATCACAACATGATAATAATTCCAATTACATTCATGAGAGGCTAAAAGTCAACTACATTGTACACTGACATTGTACACTGATAATAAAAGAATTGTATGGTACTAACTTTGATAACAAAGCACAGAGCTGGAATAATACAAAAGAGGGCCAAGCATCCAATTAGAGAACAGCAAAAGAGTTGAATAATAGTTAGCATAAAAAAGTTGTCACTTGGAGTTTGATTAGTCTCGCGTAGCGAGTTTGATTACGACGATAAATGAAATGAAAGTCACGCGTGAGCTGAGGCTGAGTAGTGACAAGAGGCTGAGGAACGACAAGAGGGTCTGGAACGAGAGGCTCCCTGATAAGAGGCTCCCTGCTATTGGATGAATGACTATCATTCTATAAAAAACAAAAGGACAGAACTAAGTCTGTGACTAAATTTAGGTGTTGCAAACCTCGCTTTGGATTTCTTCTTCATCATTAACTACACAGTCACTTGGAGGAAAAGAAACCAGTGCAGCTGCATTGAAGCAAAGTAGACATTTGGAAACCTATAACTTGTAGCTAAACTTACTGTTCTCCATACTGTTTGGCTGCGTGAGGGCTACCAGAGTTTTGATTTCTTACCGGAAGATGACATCATCAATTCAATATTAATTTTATAATTTTACCAGTTTTAATTGATAATTATTTAAATTATTTTTAATGAAGTCATCAACTTACACAAGATTTCAACATTTTAGCATTCTGTTGACATCAAAAAGCTTGTGACAGTGTCTTCCATAAAAACCTCCTCCACAACTATGCTTCTCTTGTTTATTTTTATGTCTATTGTTTATTTTTTAAATATTATCTATTAGTGAACTTGGTAAGCATAATGTGATAGAAGCACATCTTCCTTCTTTCCTAAACTAAGCTTTTATAGTTCTACATGTACATGTATGTACCTAGTTATGTTGGGACTTAAGTTTCAAGCTAACTTAAGCCCTACTACGGGCAAAAATAATTGAGTGCTTTGACTGAAATAAACTTCATTAATAATGGTTTTAAGCCAATTTTACATGTATATCTACATTTTGATAGACATCAGAAAACTTCCAAAGAGTACAGTCATCTGGAACAGGTCCTCCTCCTTTTATTCCACTCACTGCTACAGCAAATAAGACATCAGTTCAACAACAAAAGACTCTACCTACTGCACGTCAGACAGAAAAGTCTTTCAAATCCGAAGCTCCTTCAAGTAAGTGATAAAGTGCATGCATGGTGTTAAAATTTTAAAAACATGTAGAACAGCTTCATTCTCATGAAGAGCATCATCATACTGATAGACATAAACAGGACAGTAAATTAGAAGCTAAGTCCAAGCAAGTTGTTTTAGTTTAAATAAAAAGTTATAATATTATTTTATAGGGATTCAAAATACTATGATGACAGATCTACTGCAAGTACTGGACAACTTAGAACATATCACAACGACAAATCTGGTACTAGTGATAGCAAAACATCTAGTTCTTATTGAGATAGCAAAACTGCTCCATATCACGACAGCAAATCTGCTTCTTACCATGATGGCAGATCTGGTTCAAGTCACAGCAAGGCTGCTTCAAGTTCACATCATGATGGTAAAACTCCTTCAAATTCACACAGCAAAATCAGATGCAGCCTCTTCATATCATGGTAGCAAACCATATTATGACAGCAAGAAAGCTTCTAGCGGCTCATATCATGACAGCAGAATACATCATGAGAGTAAAAGCTCAAGCTCATATTGTGACAGCGAGACATGCCATCATGACACTAGCTCATATCGTGACAGTAAAAGTTCAAACTTTCGTGACAGTGAAATACATCATCATCATGAAACTATAGCTCATATCGTGATAGTAAAAGCTCAAACTCATACCGTGACAGCAGAAAAACTTCAGGTTCATCACACCATGACAGCAAAAGAGCAACCTCATATCACAAGAGTAAAACACCTTCATATTCTGATACAAAAGCATCTTCAAGGTCATATCATGAAAGCAAAGGAGCTACTGGCTCATCAGTTGGTGATAGTTCAAGCCATAGACAGGATAAACGGCAAGTACACAATGTAGAATTCATACCCCAGCATTATAGTGTAGCCTATGTACTTAGACCTGACCGATAAACATACATTTAGCTACAATTGTAGTCTAGTGTTGTTTTAGTTAACTATAACTAAAACTAAAACCCTTTTAGTTAGGCCAGATTTACTTTTAGTTAACTAACTATAACTAACTAAATCTTTTATAAATTTTGAAAAACTTAACTATAACTGACTAAAGACATTTAGAAATTTTAAAAACTAACTGTTACTAAGCCAGTGTTGTATTAGTTAACTATAACTATAACTAAATCTATTTTAGTACAGCAAAATTGTAATTTAGTTAACTAAACTATAATTCTTCCATTTGATGTCAAAATAACTAGAATCATAACTAAAATGATTTTTCAAAACTATAACTAAAACAGAATTAACAGTTTTGTACTAGTACTAGCCACACCTACTTGTTAATTGAAATCTACCGTATAGCGGGTTTTTTTCGAGGATAACAAATTTCGCGAATTTCGCAGATTTTTTCATGATTCACGAAATTAAATTCCTTGAAAATCAATTTAATATGGTACAAGATGGCAGATATTAGTGGAAATTTGTGAAAATTAATTCCGCAAACTTCCGGATATGGGTCATTCGCGAAATTTATTATCCACGAAAAACCCGCTATACGGTACTTTCATTTGACCAAAATTGACCCTGTTGAGAGGGTACTTTTGTTAGTGGAGCATGTTTGATTATGGTAATATTTGAAATTGCTATGAGTCAATGATTATTTTGCTTGGTATTGTTTGGTTTACTAAAATAAATAGGCTGAGGCTTTACTATAAGCATATTTAGTTCAAGTTCTAGTTATAGACTATAACTAGAACTTGAACTAAATATACTTTGTTCTAAAGTACCATAACCATAACTTAAAAAAATAGCCTTTGAAAATTGATCTGACCAATCAAATGCTTGAGCTCACATGGGCACAAATTCCTATACTATTAAAGGCTATTAAAGTACCGTAACTAAAATTAAAATGTAAACCATGAACTAAAACAACACTGTTACTAACTAAAAGTATTTTTATTGAAGCGTAACTAACTAAAACTAACTAAAAGTAAATCTAAAGTTCCATGACTAACTATTACTAGTCTAAGTAAAAGTCTCATTTTGTAACTAAAAAAAACACTGACATGTACATGATATCTAGTTAAAGATTTTAAATTGATCCACAGGTACTCAAAGCACAATGAAGACAGAACTGGTAGAGGATTTGATTACCATGATAAAAGAATGACATCATCTACCTCAGAGCAAAAAGTAACTACAAAGTAAGTCAGTCTCATGTACAATACTGATCTTAAGCATTATTATTAGTGCTACAACTCAACAGAAAAAAGATACTTCAGTCACATACAACTGGGACTCTGTTGTAGCAAATTGTAAAGCACCATCTGCAGCAGCTAAGGAGAAGCAGAAAGACAAAATGACTCATTGATAATAATTACTATTTTTTTGTCTGCACGTGTCATTAATAGAATTTTCATTCTGACTAAATTGAGTACAAAAAAGTTATGAAACTAATGAGTTTGACTAAAAAACTACAAATTCTTCAACTTATTGCAGTAAAGGAAATGTTATCCTTCATCATATCATTGCTCTAATCATTTATTTTAGTTGTTTGGAATTGGATATAGCGAGTGAATTGCAAATTGGTTACAGCCTAGTATAGGAATTTGTGCCCATGTGAGCTCAAGCATTTGATTGGTCAGATCAATTTTCAAAGGCTATTAATAATAACAACCAACTTGCAATTTATTGTAGTGTTGAAATCACCTAAAAAAATCTGGTAGCCATGTGTGCTTTTTTTTAATAAGAATGTTCACAATGAACTTAAATTTAATTTTTCTACTTTTGCTGCAGTACATTGATTGTGCTGGTAAGTTACAATATACATTTATTTTATTTTCTTTTATATTATTGTAATAGATATAATGGTTCAGCCAGTCTCTATTAATACAACACTCAACTCTACTGTTGTCTTCTCTTGTGAAGGAACTGGTGATGATCTTTCCTTCAGGGTTAATAATACACCAGCTACTAATATAGATGTTATAGGTAAAGGTTTCAGTGCAACAGCAACTAATAATGGTGGTACTAGAAAAGTAGAGCTACAAGCAATAGCCTATGATAATAATAATAACACTGAAGTAAAGTGTCAAGCTATTACTCTTGATCCTCCTAAAATAGTATTCAGTAAAACGGTAATACTAATGATACAAGGTTAGTGTGTGTGTGTGTGTGTGAATGCATTATTATTCACTTCTTTAGGCCTATTGGCTAGTGTGGCTGATCTGGATTATACCTTTATTAATGGATCCAGTGTACTATTAACATGGACAGCTCCTTATACACTGGATAATGTACCTATCACTGGATACTATATTGTCAATGGATTACTGAACATTACTACCAATAATACTAATTTTACATCAGCAACTAATCCTGATCCTTGTATATTAAATAATGTATCAGTTTCTGCTATTAATGAAGTTGGAATAGGCTCGTCTAATAATATCAGTTTTTATTATGAAACAGGTTAGTCCTACTATGGCTTCATGTATATGTTCACAGTGTATCTTTCAGTTCCTCTCATTACTCCTCCAGTATCAGTGGTACCAGTAATTGATGGACAGCAAATATCATTGAATATCAGTATTAATGTAAGTAGACTACCGTATAGCGTTTTAATTTTGCGGAGCTAAAATTTTGCGGATTGATAAAAATCAATTTTTCACAGAAATAACTTTTGCAGATTCGCAATGTTAGTTCCACACCTTTAATGGCAATGAAATTTTAGTGGTTCTTTAACTTCGCAATTTCATGCTAACCCACGAAAATAGCGAAAATTTAGCTCCTCGAAATTAAAGCACTATATGGTATATTCAATAGACATTTCACAATAGCAAAACAACATGTATGTAGTTGTTATCAAGAGTATTCATAAGATGTTATGTAAACTATGATTGTGTTATTGTTTACATTTTAAATAACTTCAATTCATTTTATTCCCACAATAATAGGTCAGTACCATATGTAAAGGAGAGTATCCTAATAGTGTAACAGTTAGTATACTGAATACTGATAACACAGTAATAAACAATACCAGTATATCAACACAAGTTAATGATAAAATAATGGCTGCAACTGGAAGTACTAGTTTAATAACTAATTTAAATACATTTATTGTTAATGTATCATTGAGTAATAATGGAGGAAAATTTGATTATATGCCATCTTTTTGGTTTAGTAAGCATCTCATTTTTTATTATGACTTATATATACATTAGGTTTTCTTGGACCAGCTACTAACATTAGCTCTTCAATTGACAACTGTTCTACTATTGATATAACATGGACTGCTCCTACAGTTGATGATGATAGAGTACCTATACTGTATTACATGCTCAATATATATGATGCTATTACTGGTAGTCTAGTGGATACTGTAGCAGTATATGATACCAGTTATCAGTTTGTGGATAATAATTTATTTATTCATCGTTATACATTTGTTATAACTGGAGCTAATAAATTAGGAGAAGGAATATCTAAAAACAATACATTCTCATATCAAAAAGGTACCTACACTTAAATCGTTATGTTTGTTACACTGTGTTAGTACC